TACAGAAGTATAAATGATCATTCCAAGCCCTGACTAGACTAATATGAACAATATACAACTGTGTAACCTAGAAGAAATACTCAGATGCCTTGATATATGCTAAATCATGATGAAATAGAAAATCTGAACAGACCAAGTGACATTAAATTGAATCCTGTAATAAAAGTCTCCCATTAAAGAAAGGCCCCAAACCTGATGGCTTCACTGTGAATACTCCCAAACATTGAAAGAACTAATTTCAACCCTTCTCCATCTCTTCCAGAACACTGTAGAAGACATACTTCCAAACTTACTTTATGAGACTAGGACTTTTCTTAAATTCTGTGTTCATATCTTTGGCTTATGACACCATCAAGTTGGTTTTTCTTTGTATTGTCTGAAAGATTCTGTACATATTTTATATACTTTCCTTGTTTTACACTTTGTTCATGTTTTGTGGAGGCAAAATTTTACCTCTGCCCTTCTAGAGTTTTTCCACTGGACCTAAGAATTAAATTGGCAGAAGACAGATCAATAGGGTAAGTGCACACAGATTTATTTAATACAAGTCTTCATGTGACATGGGAGTCTTCATAAGGAAATGAAAACCCAGAAGAAAGTTCAAGTTGAACATTTATGTGTGGAATTTGACAGAGACTAATAAAATGAAAATGTGACATGGCAAAGAGATTGAGCCAGGTAGTTAATTGGATAGAGAAGAGTCTAGGAAGGTAAGGTTATTTAAAGAGACCTGTTCAGATTTCTCTTGGCCTCAACTTCCTGTGCTTGATGGTAAGAATGTTACTTTCCTTCTGGAATAGAGAGGACTTTTTAACATGGTAATTTAATCTGCTGTAAGAAACATTGGGAAGTTGAGAGTGGTCTTCTTGCATCTGCTCTTTATTAGTGCTTTTAACCCAAGTTTTCAATATTCCAGAGCAGCATCATTTATAGTGGCATATCTTTATTCCCTGAGTAGCTTCCAGTGGCCTTCATTTGATCTACTTGAATTGAATGCATTTCACCAGCATTTGTATTGGAAATCTGTTGGTTGTTAGTCTGGTATGATAAAGTGCTCCTTTGCTGCTCCATTACCATCTCCACATCAATTTCTTAAACTAGTGCACTTCATTTGTTTCCTTAAATTGTCTTCCCATTCATATTCTTATTCTCGATAGTAGATACCATTGTTCACTGGTCACTGAAAGAGACACCCAACACCGAAGGGTTATCCCAGAGTTCCTTTCCTTTGTTCCCCATTGCAACCCATATCCAAGCCTTGCCAATTTGACTCCCAATGTAAAATTAAAGTGTCTGTCTTTAATAATCTGAAGAAATGACACCAAGGTAAGTAAGAGATTCTGAAGATATAATACAAATAGAACAGTATAGCAGGGGTTAAACCTTGGTGGCCATTTACTAGAAAATAGAGACATTAACGTGATGAAGTATCAGTATTATATATGATTGAAGGCTGTTTTTCTGGAATCAGAACATATTCAAATCCTCTCATTTTAGAAGGATGAACATATTTTATCAACAAGCTAAGTAAAATATACTCTGAAGACATTTAGTTGTCATAATAAAAATATTGATAATATTGAAATATTCAACCAAAGACAGTTTTTATTCAGGGCGTGTGTATGTAAGCAGTAGTTCAGTGTCTTTTTCTGCTTGCTAATTTGCTGCTTGCCAATTTACTTAATTCACTGTGAAAGTTCAGATTCTAGGTGGGGAAGAGGAGAGATGAGTCTGACTTTTCACAGTTCACAATTGGGTGTGCATGTGTGCAGTGAGTGGTGTTGTTGTTTTGCAGTTCAGTTTTATTTAGCTCTATGGACACATCAGTGCAGGCACCATCAACTATGCTCAGACTTCCAAGCACTCAACAGTATAAAGCAACACACACGCCCCTACATAATAGCATATGGTAATAGTAGGGTGGAGTGGGTTATATATATATATATCCTTTACCTATATGTTTCATCCTTTGAATTATTTTTACTTAAGTTCTCTTAAGTTTGAAAGCATGAGTCCTACAGTGTGTCCTTACAACTGAATTTTATTACAACTAAACTCTTGAATACCTAGTAGAATTGGTAGTCTGTCATGTCATGTTTGTTTTATTAACTGCTTAAATGGAAGAAAAAGTATGTTACAATAATCTTTGGGTTTTATATTTTTCACATTCTTTTTGAGGGGGAATTTTTTTGGCTTGACTCATGACTCCAAAAGCTTTATATTGCTAAAAAGGTAAACTATAGATTCATTGAGGACTTGACTTTACTATATGGCAAATATACATAGCTTCATTAGTTGGCAAATAGTATTGTGGTCTTTTCTTTCTTTGGAAATGATTTCGTGTCTGGCAATCACGTTATACTGAATATTTTTCACCTTATATGCTCTTACTAAGAAGGTTTCAAATGTTTCATTTTGTGAAATAGACAAAGGTATCAGTTTTATTACTTCATGGAAAGCAATCTCAGCATCTGTGGTAGACTTGTCACATTTGAAAATGACCTAATAGTGACCCAAGAAATGAGAAGAAAGAGGTTTTAAATTTTTATTGTATTTATGTACCACCCTTCTCCCAGCAATTATTTTACTTAGAGTAGGAAAAGAGAAAGGAAATTGACATTTTTTATTCTACCATTTATCAGGTATTATTTCATTTGTACAATCTCATTTTTTAACCAAGGAAACTGGTCACACTATGGTTTAATGCTCTTTACTAGCAAGCAAGGTCAATAACCAAGCTCACACAATTAATTAGTGCTCTTTATTAGACCTGCTATCTTTCTTACTAACAACAAAAGTTTCATAATTCAAAAATGTAAATTTTATTTACAATTTTGAATTATTATAAAGTAACTGATATAATATATAATCAGAGTACAAGTGCTCTGAAAAATGTGTAACTCTTGCTTTGCTCATTTGATTCTTATGAAATACAATCCTTAGGTCCATCAGAGAATTAAAGAATTGAACATTTTGAACTTCCTTCATATATTAGCCAGCTGGCGTGTTCTCCTACCAAAACATTTTCTGATTTGACCACAGACTCTCTCAATCAGTTGTTACTGGTTTGAATAATAGAATATGCTGTCATGGTGGGCACCTGATCATGAAAACTGATATCTGGAGTGCATTTTTATTTGGATTTAAAATGTTTTTACTGTCCCAGTATAAACACTGTTAATCTAGTCAAAACCTTTTCTCACAAGATGAAGAGCTTGCATGGTTTTATTTTAACTGGTTGTATTCAACAGAGTGAGAATAAATTGTACATTTACATTAGGCAAAAATCTTAATTGATTTTAAACATGAAGAATGTCATACCAACAACAGTTTTAGAAATTTTTGAGATAAAATAAGTGAGTTTTGAAACTCTAAATATCTGGATTTATTTAATTTAATACCACTTGGAAATATTCTGGACTGTAAGCTTTCTGGAATTGGGAATTTAAGTATCCAATTTTTGATGCAGTGCTGGGAAGTTACAAATCTGTCTTATGTTTGGATTTGAGAATTACTGATTTGTTTTGGTTGTTCATTGAACTAGTTTCATAGACAATAGTGAATTTCCATATTCCTGGTATAATAGGTCCCTATCCTAAGAACAACAGGATGATTTTCTTAGTCGTCTCCAGATGGAAAAGTAGAGTTAATTATTTTAAGACAGCTTTGGACACCTTGTCATAAATTTGGATAGTAAGTAGCAAATGTGACTGATTATCATAAAAGATATGAAGATAAAGATTTCAATGCATCAAATATATAGAAAATGTGGGTTGGGTGTGTTGATTTCTTTTTATTATTCTTCATTGTATAAAGATGGTGTTAACAATTTAGTTTCAGTGAATTATGCAGTTCTTAATTATCCTCCCATCTTCAAATGGGTTTAGTGGAAAGGGCTTGGTATAGCAGAAACTACTAATATATTAAGGGAACATAACAATTGAAGATAGCACATATTACATTTTACAAAATCACATATGAATACTGAAACATATTTGTTATTCATGCTATGTTGGAAAGAAACAAATTTTTACTGAATGAAAGCTGGCATTTTTTAGTCGTCAGTGTTATTAGTATGTAGAGTATTAATGTAGGAAAAGAATACATGCAGTCCCTAAAAACCAAAACCTTCAGCATGTCCAGTGAGAGAATTTATCATGTAGATATTGATGAAGAGACTTTAAATAAATTTTTGTTGTTAGATAAAGTACTGACACACAAACATGTTGGTAACATTAGTGGGTCTCTAAGCAACTAAGTCACTGTAGCCAGATTACAATCTGTTTTATTTCATTCAGGAAAATTAGAAAGTCAAAATAGAGAAAGCAAAAGAATATTTTGCCTGATTAGAAACATCTGAGAACCTATAGAAAAAAACCTGACTTTTGCTTTTTAACGCTTATTTGTTACAGTTTAGTGTGTCTATAAACAGGGAAGAATCAAAATTATTTTCAAGCCCTAGATTTTAGCACTGATATTTTGTTTACCCTCCAACACTAGTGGAATGAAACATCATTTTGAAAAAAACTCCTAAGACCATATTTTCAAGACATTGAAACATTGTGTTGTGTAGGAATCATTATGACATTAGCAATTTTTAATAAAAGATTAAAGATATATTAGGTAAGGCTGCAGATCCATGTTGCTCAGTGGTAGAGGGTTTGCCTAACATGTGGTGTCCTGAGTTCAATTCCTAGGACTGTAAAACAAAACAAAACAGCAAAAACTCATTAATTAAAAGGAAGTAAATATTACAGAAACAAATGTTTCCCAGTCAGTAGTACTTTAAGGACTGATCACTGCCCACTCCTCTTTTGACCCTGAGTAGAAGAAATCCAGTGAAATTTAGGAAATAAGTCTATGACTCTGTTTACCAGTTTTGTCGTGTGCAAGTTTTGCCTCATCAAAATTTTATGTGCATTTCCCATCTCAATTATAAGTTAATGAATATATTGGCACCCAACTTTATCCTTTTTTTCTCTTGGCATCATCTCTTTCAGCACTATGAAGAATTTACAGTCTCTCTCAGTGATGTTTTAATGACATGGAAATTCTTACTACATGAGAAATTAAACTTACCCCTTGAAGATATGCAAGTGGTTGACCATTATGAAGACATTAAGAAGATTTACGATGATTTTTTGACAAATAGTAATATGGTAGATCTGATCGACATTTATAAAAAATGTAGGATTTTGACTTCTAATTGTGAAAATAATGACATGATATCCCCCGTAAGTATTTTTAAAAATAATCCTATTTTAATAGAACTAAATTTCAGCGAGGCTACTTTTATATATGTATATGTACATATGTATTTATTTATTGGTATTGGGGATTGAATCCCAAGGGTGTTACCACCAACCTACATCCCAAGCCCTTTTTATTTTTTTATTTTGACACAGTGTCCCACTGAGTTATTTAGGGTCTTGCTAAGTTGCCGAGGCTGGCTTTGAACTTGCAGTCCTCCTGCCTGGAGTAGCTCAGATTACAAACATGCACCATTAAATCATAGTTACACAGTTATAGTAATTTGAGGAAGATTCTGAAAGAAGGCAGAGAATATAGTCTTTGTTCTGGTTAGTAACATGTTCGGAGAAAAACAAAAGCTCTAGTAATTTGATAATGTTTTTGCTTTGGTGATCATGTTAAGAATGGAAAATTTAGGTACCTGAAAGCTAGTTATTATTTGAAAGAAATATTTTGGTGGTAAATTTTGTTAAACTTGTGTTATTATTTGGTTGCTATAACAGTTTTTTATTAGATCAAAAAATATTGTAACAAATCAGTACCAAATGCATGTTTTTTTTTTTAAATTATGTCAAGGATTGCTTTTCTAAAATGTATTTTTTCTTGGTTGAATGTGCATCTGTTATTCAGCATATGTTATATGAATGATTATTATGGTTTTTCTCTTATGGATTAATAATATTTTATTTTGTGATGGGAGTGTCATTTATCTTATGAGAATAGTATGGGGCAATATATGTGAGATATAGATTTCTTTTTTTTGTACAACCATAGTTATTTTTTAATAGAATATAAATTAAAAAATTAAATACAGTAGCATCCCTTGCAGTTTGGTTTTGTTTACATTAGAATTTATGATTCCTTTTTTAGAATATGTTCATCTGTATCTAATTTTTTAAAAGCATTGAAGGTGCTCTTTATTTTAAGATTTACTGAATGCTATAAAGCAGTGGTTAAATAGTAGTAATAGCTAAATAAGTGTAGCTAGAATTAGAAGAAGATGTTTACTATATTTTATAAGATAATTTGAATACTTTGTAAATATTTCCATATGGTAATATTGTTTTAGCTGTTTATAATGGAAACTTCTACTAAAAAAGTGAGTTAGAAAAAAATAGAAGCTTATTTCACTCCTAAAAGATGTTGAAATATATGCAACTAGGACTGATGTGATATTTCATGTTATCAGAGATCCAGGCTTTTCCTGTCATGCTGCTTTCCCCATCTCATGTTCCATCTTAATTCTTGTCCTCTGTCCTCAAGACCACCTACCTCATGGTTCGGGATGACCACTGAAGCTCCAGACATTGTATCAGCATTCTTTGCTACAGGAAGTAGTAAGAGGGAACAGCAATCTCCTTTTAGGGAGACATAGCTCTTTTGCTTCCATTTTGGTTAGTCACATGGGCACTCCAAGCTGAGGGAGGGTGGAGAAGATAGTCATTATTTTGGGTAGTAACATGCAAGGATAAAATAGTTCATGGAGTTGGAGAGTTGGCAGTTTGTTGTCTTTGCCTCACTGGGCTCCATGGAGGCCTTTGCTTATAACTTCCTCAAAATGTGTTGCCCACGTGCATGTTCATCCCACACATGCACATCCACAGTGTGGTAAGGGTACTTGCAAGTGGAGATAGTTCACTTAGTACATTCTCCCCTAGCTATACTTTTTTTGCTTGCTTGTTGAGGTGATTTTTTACTACTTTTTATTACTTTACTTTTTGAGAGGCTAATCATATATAAGCATTGAGTTGTAGAAACAAGAAAGAAGATCAACCAGCACTAGTATGATATAACTGAGGATTTTAGGCACATTGTTTTCATCCTGTGCCTTGTCCCTGTCTGAGTTCTCTAAAAAGCTTCCTCATTTGAGTGTATTAACCTGTAGTATGAGATTTATAAGGTGCACATTTGGATTGTCTATGAGGGAGGTGGTCTCCAAATAGTAACATATCTCCCTTGAAGGACACCAGGAATGAAAATTGAAACTGCTAAAATGTAGTGCATGAAGAAATTTTCTATATTTAAACTCTGAAACATTAATAGTTTGGTCTTTGATATTTATGCTTGCTCTAAGGAAATTTCTAGTAAGGAAAAAATGGACAGATGTATTTCTCAAAAATGTACTAAATATAACACTAATTTATGCTTAAGTGCCTTTAAACTTACATATTAGACTATTCCAAATGATTCTGAATTTTCATTACCATGATAAAATTTATTTGCTTCTTATTATAGCTTAAATAAGGCAGGAATTATGAGGAATTAGGATAAAGCTAAGACAGCAACCTGTAAACTTGAAGCATTCCCCTTTCACCTTCGTTTTCTGGTTTATAATTCCTCTCCTGAGGACTATGGTTGCAGCGCCATAGGCATCTGGAAGCAGACAAGGTTTGGTTCTAGCTGGAGTGGAAGTGGAGATTTGGTGAACAGCTTGCTTTCTCATGAACTAGTGGGTATCTGAAAGATAGCGTCAGATCTGGGGTGAGGAGCAGAAGAGCTTAACCACAGAGACTTTTGGATCCTCTGAGCAAGGTCAGCAAATATCTTCTGTGAGTATGCCCAGATTCCTTCTAGGCAAGAAGGAGCGGATGGGTGGGCTTGCTTCCTGTTGGTGAGGCTTGGGAGAACATTGGGAGAACATGGGACTTCGTTCGCTTCGACAGCCTCTTTTTTTCTCCCACTGCTGTGCCATAGAAGACATTTCACCTTCCATTACTTGCAGAGCTGTCATGTTAGAGCTAAGCCCCAAACTGCCAGTGAAGAAAACCAACAAACCATCTACAGGTTACCCGCAGCCAGARAAGGATAGGTCAGCTGACAACATACCTGCCCAACAGAACAGAGCTTCTAGAGGGGAATGACAACTTGAATATACATAATTATTAGGTACTTAAGGAAACTCAAGGATAGCAGCCACACATAAGACTTCCTAGATTTTGCAAACAACAAACTCCAAACTAAAAACAAGCCACATCTGCAGGGCTTCAGTGTGGGTGGTGTGGCACCAGGAATATATCAGGGTGTTGGGCTGAAGGACTACACTGGCACTAGTGGGTGCGACCTGCAGTTGCCCAGGGCAGCCGGGGAAGTGGTATTGGTGCCCAAGGCCCAGCTTCTGGGGTGAACTCTGAGTAGGAAGGGACTTCTTGAGAAAGCTCAGAAAACACAGCACTCCTGAGGAAGCAGCCCCTAGTTGGAACCTGAGACCACCAGGCATTTCCTCTAACCTTTGTTAAGGGAGATCCAGAGCGTGGGTCCCCCGTGCCTGCAGGGGTCAGCTCTGCAGCCACCTCCAGAAAGAGGAGGCCTTGCATGATCTAGGCCTCCAACAGGTGCAGTGGGCAGTTAGGGCCACCAGACCTCCTTACTCCTAGGGAAGATCTTACCCTGTCGGCCTCTGCCCAGCATCTTGGGCAGAAGCAGAAGCTCAAGCCCTTCAGTTTAACCCAGAAAACTGCCAGCAAACCTCCAAAGTCCTCATGTCTTAGAGATACCTGTCTTTGTGAACACCTTGTGGTTACTAAATACAAAGCAAGATTTTGTTCTTATAAATGTTTGTCCCGTGTTGTGCCCCGGCCCCAAACTTTATCCACAAACATTTGTTTTTCTCTTCCCCCAAACAAACAAACAAACAAAAAGCTTTTTAACCCCAACCCTTCCTCTGCTGCTTTTGGGTCCCTCTTTCAGGTATGTGGACAGGTGGGCTGGCTCTCCTCAGGCATGCAGATAAAAGCCTATTACTAGAGAGGGATCGAAAGGACTACCTATAAATGTTATCACAGACTGGAATGATAAAATAGTATATAATAGATTGTAGGGACATGTAAGGTCTAGGGTGTTCTGTTTTAAGAGATGGATAAAAGCTTTATTCTCAAAGCTGCAGGTGTGGGGGGGAAGTATTCAGCCTCAAGAATTCCATTCTCCTTAGAAGTACCTGCATTTCTTTGGAGGCTTTCAACAGAGAGAATGAAATCTTTCACAAAGAGGAATTAGATGCAGGCTAGTATTTCATCAACTGATGTTCTGAGTATGATAAGAATTTATTCTTTGTGTAAGATGTCTCCACCTTTGTGATTTTTTATGAGCTAGTTCTTCCTCTATAAGCTATTACAGAGGTTCATTCCCCTCCCCACCTTTTTTTTTTTTTTAGCAATTACCAGGTTATAAAATTATCATGCTTATATAAGTGATAAAAACTTGTTAATTTTTCAAATAAAGCATGAGAGTATGAAGCAGGAAAAGTTGTGTAACTACATACAGATAAATACTTCAGAGTAACTCCTATTCTTTTTGAAAAATAAGCCATTTTTATGAGAATTTAAAAAAAGAAGATAAAAACAAATTCAAAATCAAGTTAGTATCCTGAAAATCAAGGACAATAAATTTTTTATTTGTCTGATTTTAATTTGTGCATTATAATTACATGTGATAGTAAATTTATTTATACATGCACACAATAAAACAATATAATTTGGTCAGTACCTCCCATTTTCTTCTCCCTCCTCCAGATTTCCTTCCTCTATCCATCTCTGTTCTATTTGCATGAGGTTCACCCCTTAAGTGCCATCCATTCTCCTGCAAAAGACATCATTTTATTCTTTATGGCTAGATAAAACTCCATGATATATATACTACATTTTCTTTATTCAAGCACAATAAAAATTTAAAGTACAGAATAAATACAACATTATGAAATAAAGGAAAGGAAACTTGGAGGTTAAATCTAGAGGAATTAACATGAAAATGATAGTACTCCAAGGTAGGAAAACAGATGCATATGAGGGCATAATTAAATATGTATATTTGTTATAATAAACAGTTTCCTTAGCTGGGAGACCCAACTCTGCTAATGATGAGTATTTAACAGTTCCAGGCTATATTGATGAGAAAATATGTGCCTCTTCACATTCTGGTAAAATTCTTGAACTCTTAAGGATAATGATGAATCTTACTAGTTTCTTTATTTAACTATAATTTATCCTTTAATTATAATTTAAATATAATTTTGTTATTTAACAAAAATTTTAATTCCATGCCCTGAAGGAAGAGGACCTGCAAATCTTATCCTTGATCAAGATTATCATTTATCAGTCAAGTTGAAGGATTTATGAAATATGAAAAAGAATATCATGCTAATATCTCATATGAAGAATTCCATGTATAGTCAATAACTGCCAACAAGTATCAAGTAATATTCTGCACTGGAATATCAGTGACATTATGTGTGAATTTTTTTTATTAGTAATACCCTATATTTTCTGCAGATTCAACTACTGGATTTTCTCTGTGGCAAAGAGCATGCAGGAGATGATGAAAATGATCTTTATATGCCAATGTCACCAGTAAAACACAACCAGGATCATGAAAAGGTATTGATAGATTAGTAAATTAAAGCAGAATATGAGCCCCTTCAAATCACTATGTATTTGATGGTTCATTTGAGCTATTAATGTTTTGTTCTTTTAAAATTTTTATAAGTTTTTAGTTTGTTCAAATAAACTATTTGCAAAAATTTTAATACACTGGAGTCTAGAGAAAGAGCCTGATACTAATCAGGTTATTCATGGTTTGGGGCCAAGGCAAATTCCACTAAGCAAAAATAAGTATCGTTCAAAGAACCAGAAAAATAGGTGAACTTTCAGTTATCAGTTTCTGCACCTCACATATACTATTTTAGACGTGTGATTCTTGGGAGAATATGTTTTATTGAAAAATATGGCCTGTATCCTTTGAAGTAATACAAATGATGTACTACCTACGATTAAGAGTTCTGACCACAGGTTTTGCTGTGGAAACGAATTACAGAACATTAGAGCCACATACAGGTTTTGTCTAATACAACTTGCTTTCAGCTGCATGTTATGCTAGGTATCTAATTACATGTAGTGACCCCCACTGACCATGGGAATTATATTTATAGAAGTTTCTATGATTAATTAAATCACCATTGACAAGAGTTAGAGAGTATTGGGAAAAATAGTAAAATTATATTTAACATACTTTAAAAAATATGGTGTATAAAAGATCTAGAGTGCACCTACTTGTATAACCAACTGCTGCATTAAGTCAACACATTGGTGAATTACCTTCTTAATTTTTCAGAAAACTTTTCTGAGATTGATTCTTCCAGAAGACCTATATTTTACAGATTGTACTTTTAAAAACATATTTTATTACTGCCTTCAAGTAAATACCTGCATTCTGGATTTAATTTAGTTTAGTTTTTTTTTAATGTGTATCTGATTTTATTTCTATCCTTTGCACCTTATCTCTAAAATTCTTCACCATATACTTCCTGCAAATTAGGGATGACCACAGTATCACTTATCATATAAAGAAAACTTAAATACCCATTAATATAATTTACTACCTTTCTACTCCAATTTCAGCATTTGTCCCCAAAATGGTTTTATATCTCTTTAGACTCTTAATTTATAAGAATTCCCCTCATCTTTTTGTTTCTTCCTTTTTAATTATCTGATGAATACTCTGGTAATATTTAACTTGTTCTTTTATTTGCTTTCTGTCTGTCTGTCTCTCTCTCTCTCTCTCTCTCTCTCTCTCTCTTTTAATTTTTTGGTACTGGGTATTGAACCCAGGGGTACTTTATCCCTGATCTACATCCCAGTCCTTTTTATTGGTTTTGTTGTTTTTGAGATAGGGGTTGCTAAGTTGCTGAGGCTGGCTTTGGACTTCTGATCCTCCTCCCTCAGCCTCCTGAGTCACTGAGATTATAGGCACATGCCATTATGCTCAGCTACTTGCTGTAATTCTAATAAACTGGAAGTTAGAAGTTTAAATTTGGGCTTAATATTTTTTAAGAAATAGTTTATAACAGATGTGGAGAATTTCATTTTGTATCACTTCAGGAGGCACAAACAGGCTGCCCCAAATTGCAAGGTCTCTACAAAATGAAAATGTAGTTTTCGGGTTGGCTGGGGTTGTGGCTCAGTGGTAGAGCGCCGCCTAGCACATGTGCGGCGCTGGGTTCGATCCTCAGCACCACATAAAAATAAATAAATAAAATAAAGATATTGTGTCCAACTACAACTAAAAACAATTTTAAAAATAACATGTTAGTTTTCTCTTTGCTGTCAGCATATGTCTGTGGGGTGATACTTTAGCACTGTGTAAATAACCTTATTTCCCAACAATGTTTCCCTAATGGTTTTATGTATGCATTGGTGATCCTTGCCTGAGTCAAATATTTAGCATTTATAGAAAGGTGAGTTTCTTTTTTTGTCATGTGTACATTAATTACCTGCCATTTCTCAGTAAAGAAAAGCTTTATCTTGTTAAATGGGATGAGGTGTGGTTCTGTTAAAACGTCAAGGTTAATGCTTAATTCTCTATCATGGGAATTGGTATACATAAGAGGAAAATAAGATTTTTTTTTCTATTTTCTCCTTTTTTGTTTGTAGATTGCTGTGGAGTCATGGATTTTTATTTATGTAGTTTTTATTTATGCCGTGTTAGATTTTTTGAGCATTTTCTTTTCTCTCAAGCCCACCTTGAATGTTTCTTGCCCAGACCACCATGTTCCTTTTAGTGATTTTTAACTATTTTCTTAAAATTAAGTTTTCACTTACATTCTCACTTTTTTCCTCTTCTGCTCCAAAGCTTGACAAACTGCTTACCAAATTGGCTGGTCTTTTCTCAGTGGCACTTAAGAACTACATTCATGTATGAGGAGGGGAGATCTCTTACAGCCTCCTTTTCTTTGATCTGTCTTGCTCCTGGTACTCTATAGGGGAGAATCTAAGAGTAATTGTTATTATCCTTTTTTTTTTTTTTTTTTTTTTGGTAACAGGGATTGAGCTCAGGGGCATTGGATCTCTAAGCCACATCCCTGCACTATTTCGTATTTTATTTAGAGACAGGGTCTCAATGAGTTGCTTAGTACTTTGCTTTTGCTGAGGCTGGCTTTAATTCTCAATTCTCCTGCCTCCTGAGCCATTGGGATCACAGTTGCAGGCAATCTTACCTGGCTTTTTATATACTTTTTAAAAAGAGAGAAATGAGCTGATTTGTATATGTAAAAAGATCTAATCTCTTAGAATTTTGGCTTACAGTTATAAAACATTATCCTAAAGTAATTTCCATGATGGAGAAACTGATGGGTCTTCATTGTACCTATATTTAAAAAACATGATAGGTATTGGGGGTGTAGCCTGAATAAGTGAATAAGCACAAGGCCCTGTGTTTGAGGCCTTGGCCCACCACCAAAACAAAGCAAAAACAACCAAAGAAAACTCTCCAAAAACTCATAATTTGTTTCTTTGTGTTAAACCTATGCTTTTTATCTTTTGCTTCCTGGGACTGTCTTTTCTAGGAGAATTTTATCTTACTAGTTAGCTGGTGGATTTGATTTTCTGAGGGCCATTAAAGTTAGAGCCACATTGACAGCTCTGAAGTTTCTAATTTTTCTTTTCAGAAGGTATTTTTGGAAGTCAATATATTTCTATTGAAAGGCTAAAGTTACTTTTTTGGGCTATGGTCTTGCCAAGATATACTTTGATCACCAAATTTGCTTACACCAAAATCTTCAAATAGAAGAATGGAATGAATTTAAGAAACAATATTTTTGTTTCTTTATTTTATTTTTCCTAAAGTGTTAAACTACTGTTTTAGAATTCTGAGTAATGAAGGGAAAAAGATTAAAGAGCCCCCCAAATCATTATTTAAATAAAAAATTCTATCAGTATATCTGTTCTAATTCAACTTATTGTTATTATTATTATTTTTTTTGGCAAATGTAAACATGTATGTGTTAACCAAGGAGGCAAAAAGATACCTGTACAAATTGCAAATTTTTTTATTTTAGAAAAACTTTGTTCAAACTGAGATTGAATATCAGCATTTCAGTAAGAATTAAGGGATAGGAAAAGCAACTTGGAACTGTCAGAAAGCTTAAATAAAATTGTCCAATTTCTAAACAAATCTCACAAATATTTTGTGGTATGGATAGAATCAGTTTATTAAACAAATAAATAGAGCAGTATCCTTATTTTTGGTATCTTGGAAAAGCTTCAGTTTTGTGGATTTTGTTAATTTAAGCCCTTGCTTCTGGACATCATAACTGTACTCATGTGGACTGCTTTTACAGAGAGCCTCTTTAAAACCCACTTGCACATACAAGAGCAGGGAAACCATAACTGCCATGTTATTTGACCATAATGATGGGGATAGATGTCCAATTCAGCCATGAGTTAAAAAAAACACTCCATCTGTGAGGACTCCAAGATGTTTTTCCCTGATGTTTGCCCAGGATCACAGATCAGAAATTTAGAATATTTTTAGCCTTAAAGAGTAAGTTGTAAATGTGGAGATATATACACACATACACAAGACTTGATGGCTCTGTCAAGTTCTCCCTAATCTTATTTTTTGCTTCAATAGTCTGTAACTCTGCATGACACCAGTAAATATCAGCATCAACTGAATGCTATTATTTAACATTTAGTTAAATCTGTTCATTTTCAATATCTACTAGTTCTCAAAACTTAAACATTTAACTTTAGTCCTTAAATCTGGCGTTTAAGGAGTGTAGCTATGGGAACAAATAGAGCCAGTTGGCTCGTGGTCTAAGCTTCTGAAATTTTATTATTGGCTATTATTTAGTGGCTGATGTGTGCAAGAGAATTAGAAATGCAGATTTGAACTGTATCTTTTGTATCATTTTTTAACAGTCATTTTCCAATAATTATAATAGTTACTATGTACTCATGGTTTCTTATTGTCAGTGAGTTTATTTATAAGAAAGAATATGTTGACTATGCAACCTAAGGTTTCAGTTTATATACAATTCTCATTTCCTAAAGAACTGTGAAGTATTGTGATTCTTTTTATTTGTTCTTTTAAACTATACGTGACACTAGAGTATATTTCGACATGTTATGCATACATGTATTATTCTTGTGGTTGTACATGATGTGGAGATTCACTGTGGTGTATTTATATATGTACTACTATACATTGAAAATATTTAGAATAACTGCAATAAAGAAAATAACTGAATATTTTATTGTACAGGTACAGCTACTAGCAAAGAAAGTTATCTTTTCATATTTAAGCCTGCTAGTAAATTCAAAGAATGACCTGGCTCTGGCTCATATTCTCAATATTCCTGATAGAGGACTTGGAAGAGAAGCCTTCACTGATTTGAAACATGCTGCTCAAGAGAAACAGATGTCTATCTATTTGGTATGGAAATGTTATATTGTCATGATTGTGTTAAGACTCTTTGAGCAGTGGGTTCATAAACCCTGATATAGAGTTCTTTTTTTCCTCTTTGCACATTTTTTATTGTTGCATTATAGTTGTACATAATGATGGAGTTTGTTGCTGCATACTCATACATACACACAATATGACCATGTATTTTGGCCAGTATCACTCCCCAGCACTTTCCACTTCCTTTCTCTCCTCCCTACCCCTGGATTTTTTTGTGAGATCTTCACACATCCTCCTTTCTTTTCCTTTTCTCTCTCTACCTTTCATATATGAGAGAAAACATAAAGCCCTTGACCTTCTGGGTTTGGTGCTTAACATAATATTCTCAAGTTCCATCCATTTTCCTGCAGTTGACATAATTTTGTTTTTCTTTATGGCTAAATAAAACTCCATTGTGTGTGTGTGTGTGTGTGTGTGTGTGTATCACAATTTCTTTAGCCATTCATCCATTGATAGACACGTAGGCTGGTTCCATAGTTTGGCTATTGTGCTGCTATAAACATGGGTATGTAAGATGACTTTAATTCTTTAGGATAAATACTGAGGAGTGGTATATTGGGGTCGAATGGTGGTTCCATGCCTAGTCTTTTGAGGAACTTCCATTCTAATTTCCAAAGTGGTTGTACTAATTTACAATTCCACCAACAGTGTAAAAGTATTCCTTTTCCCCCATATCCTCCCCAGCATTTATTATTATTTGTATTCTTGATGATTGCCATTCTGACTGGAGTGAGGTGAAATCTCATTTTAGTTTTGATTTCCCTAATTGCTAATGATCTTGAACATTTCTTCATATATTTGTTGATCATTTTTATTTCTTCTTTTGAGAAGTATCTGTTTAGTTCATTTCCCCATTTATTGATTGGGTTTTTTTTTTTTAAGTTTTTTAATCCTTTGGCAGAAAACTAGCTAGCAAAGTTTTTCTCCCATTCTGCAGGTTATCACTTTACATTCCTAATTATTTCCTTTGCTGTGCAGAAGCATTTTAATTTGATGCCATCCTAATTATTAATTCTTGGCATTGTTCCTGAACTTTAGGGATCTGATGTAGAGTTCTTATGATTATGATGAAACAACTTTTAATCAGTCAATTCATGGTCTATCTCTGTATTTGAAAACCAATGGTATTTTCATTTTTTACTATTTTCTTCATGTTTGGCAAGGGAGAAATTCTCTAAAGCACTGTTTAACTACATGTGTTCTGTAGAGTCCTAGCCTTGGTAAATTCTTCTCGTATAAATGTTTCCAAGGCCATAAATTTCAGAAATAGTATATTCCCCGTTGGTAATTCATAATGCATGTTTATGTATGAAGAACTCTGAGAAGTTCCTTCATAAAGAAGTCTGCTTCTTAAGAAGTTAACCTGGGACTGGGGTTGTGGCTTAGTGGTGCAGTGCTTGCCTAGCATGTGTGAAGCACTGGGTTTGATCCTCAGCACCGCATAAAAAATAAACAAAGATATTGTGTCCATTTATAACTAAAAAGATTTTTTTTAAAAGAAGTTAACCTTATTATTTAATCTGTTATTTTCTAAGTTATTTCACCATGGAGCTTTCTCCCAAATTATTGGTATTTCATAGAGTTTGTCTTTCTTGGGGTAATACTTTGGAAAATGCATCTACTAAACATTTTTTCTTTGATGGAGACATTCTTATGTTCAACCATCACATACATATTTTATCTTTGTTAAGAAAAAGCATTTTACACATGGTCAAATAGTCTAGGATGCAAGACGTAGTTGGAACTTAGTGGCTATCTAGTCTAAATATTTATTTTATAAGAAAGGTAAAGTAAAAGTTTGGAAATGCTGAATTTCCAGACAATTCATAGTAGATTAGTTGACAATGAAAACAAGTTTGTTCTTCATAATGGTTCCAGGAGTCTGACATCAGTTTAGGAATGTTAACAAATTCTTTATAGTCAATGACCTGTTCTTATGAATGTGAAGATGATCTTTAGTCCTTAATTTACTCTCTGACTTAGCCCATCAGCCTCCACCTGAGCTGGGCATTATTGCTCCAACCTTGGTGCATGAATTCTGCCTGGCACTTGTTTCTTTGGTTAATGAAGAGTGGTATGAGCCGTAAATTGTGCTTCATTTTAACTGTATTCCTAAATCTACATAGATCTAGCTTCAAAAGATAAACTGTAGCTTTTTGCTTAATCATTAAACATGAGTAAACTCTTTGTTTCCACTCACAGATGGCTACATCCTTTATTAGAACATTAGAGCTTGGAGGGAAAGGCTATGCACCATCACCATCTGATCCTTTAAGGAAACATGTAAAGGGACTGTCTAATTTTATTCACTTAATTGACAAATTAAATGAGATTCTCGGAGAAATACCAAGTCCAAGGTAATAATTTTTCATAAATTACAAATTTGTCTTATTAGCCTATCTTTAAAACTTCACAAAATCACAGGTAGGAATGATAGATATCAAAATGATCAAGCGTTAGGCCAAACAATGGAGAGGAAAAGCAAAATAGATGAATAAATTATTGTATGCCTTGCTCTCATTCTTAAATTTTTACCAAAATTAAAAGTACATCCAAACTAACTTAGATTAATAAAAAAGTATTAATATTTTTATCTAGAAGAAACAGATTTTTGAAGACTAGAAATAGCCAAATAGACATAATTCCTTTAAACTTTTAATTTAGTGTTGAAGGAAACCGGTACTAAGAATGAATAAGAAAATTAAAAAAAATGATGAATTCTCTATTCTGTTTTATACTGGTTATCTTTTATTTTCTAATGTGTAAATCTTTGGTTCACCTGTCATTTGTTTATATGTGATATTAGAAATAAGAGGGTTTTTTAATCTCAGACTTGCATTTGTAATATAGATATATTGGATGATAAATTTTAAAGAAAAATTTTGGAAGTTAAAATTTAAAAGTTAAATTTTGGAAGTTACAATTATGGTGGACTCCTGTGGTTTTGATTGTTATTCCATAGCATGATTCTAATAAAAATAGCTGCTGGGCTGGGAATGTGGCTCAAGCGGTAGCGCGCTCGCYTGTCATGCGTGCGGCCCTGGTTCGATCGTCAGCACCACATACAAACAAAGATGTTGTGTCTGCTGAAAACTAAAAAATAAATATTAAAATTCTCTCTCTCTCCTCTCTCTCTCTCTCTCTCTCTCTCTCTCTCTCTCTCTCTCTTAAAAAAATTAAAAATTAATAAAAATAGGTGATATTTATTGAATGCTAATTGTGTAAGACATTGTGCTAACTCTTTATGTAAACTTGAAGATGTTGCCCAGGGGTGTGGACAACCTATTGGGCTTCATTGGTAATTTATTTTGTTTTATTCTCTCTACTTGGACTTTAGCCACAATCTAAAGATAATAAGAAAAAGCAAGACACCATCTCTTCTGTTTCTTCCAGTTCCTTCTTCCTTTTACAGCTCAAATTCTTGAAGAAAATGCTATTTTTTAATACTTTGCTATTTCTAGTTATTTAATGTGCATTTCTCAGGAGACAGTAAGCTCTTTGAGGGTTTATTGGTTTTCTTTACTAATATTTCTGGCACAGAGCAGACATTCAGTATTCATTTCCTTGCTTATACTTGACCAACTCATACCTGTTCATGTTTCCCAAAGCTCTTCTGCCTATGAGCTTTTGTGATCATTTGGTTGTTATTGTCTTTGGACTCTTTTGAGTCCTTATATATGATTACTGTCTTGAACTCTTTTTTTTCCCTCATAACATCTAAGATACTATTCTCTTATTTTCTAGCCCCCTTTCATTACATTATGCAAATTCTTCCAAATCTATATTTCAGTGAAATCCAGACTTCTTTCCTGATTTTTAGAGATATATCTTCAACTGTCTTTGAGGTAGTACCTCAAAGGCAACTTAAACCTAACATGTCTCAAACTACATCTTAATCTTTCCCTGGAAAGGTGCTTCTTCTAAAGTGGTGAAGCCTTTCTCCTTTCTCTATCTCCTGGTTCACCTAGATCTACCAACTCCTCTTCTGTGACACTTTTTGTATTCTTCCTCCTCATCTCTATTCCTGTAGCTGCCWTCTTATTTCCAGTCTTTATGCTGTATGTTTTAGACTTTAATTCTTTCTGGACTTTTTTGCCAGCCTCTGAGTTGTCCATTCTGCTTTCAGTCTTGCTTTGCTCCATCCTGTTAATCTTATTGCTACCAGAATGATCTTCCTGAAGCAGCGAATGTTAAGCCCATGACTAAGACCTTCAATGATTGCATAGTAGGTATAGGGTAAAGCCCCAGGAATCTCAGTGAGGTATGCAAAATTGTATATAGTCAGATTCCTGCCTGTCTTCACTCTTGGTCTCTATCCTTTTTGTCTCTCAACCTTAAAACTTGGAAATAAAAATATATTTAACTCTTGTATCTGAGGATAAGTTTGTATACTGACCTTGTAATAGGGGAGTTATAGTCACCTTTCAGCTCATGGAAGAATGGGAATAGACATGGGAGAAAGGGGGGGGGGAGAATTGATTCTCACATTCATCACTCTTGTCAGCTTTTCATGAGGCCATCTTAGCTGTAGTTGGCTGCATTTCTACACTTTGCCAGTAGGTGCCACCGCAAAATGCATACCATACCTTCACCTGAAAAAAATGTCCTGAGTTAAAGGATTTTAGGTTATATAAATTAGTTGTTGTTGTTTAGAAGTTTTAAATGCTGTCTTTCAAGATTATTACCCAATTTTAGTGCAAACCAGCATTACATATTTAGTATGTGCTTATAGAATGTTAAAATTTTTCTTGTCTAAAAATTTCTGAAGCATTTTTGATACATTTTATGTGGTGCCTTTCATCAAATTTACTTTTTAAAGGTAAAATTCATTTCAGCAAACAGTTATCAAATTTTTGAATATGATACAGAAAAGACGCCATTATCAAATTTTTGAATATGATACAGAAAAGACGATCACTTTATTTAGTAGAATGAAGAATAATCAATAATTACTTTCAAGTATTGGCAGTCACTTCTCTGTTATTGCTCAGTGTTTTCTTCAAGTTACTTTATTTGGAACTTAAGAATCGAATTATGTTTTTCATTATTAGCCTCATTTTTCTCTTTCTGCCCCAGCACTCTGGTTTGATGCAGTCACGAATCAGGAGCTACAGTTAAGAAAAAGGTTTTCTTCACTTTGTAACCCCTGTGCATAGCACAGATATCATGGGGTAATTTGAGTTAAACCTTCTGGCTGGGTACTGTGACACACAGCTATAATCCCAGCTACATCGGAAACTGACACAGGAGGATCACAAGTTAGAGGTCAGCCTCAGCAATTTAGTGGGACCCTTTCTCAAAATAAAATAATAAAAAGGTCTGGGAATGTAGCTCAGTGGTAGAACACTCCTGGGTTTAGTCTCCAACACTAGGAAACAAACAAATAAAACTTGTGGAGTTTCTAGGCTCTAGAGGCAAAGTTTGAATTAAGCCACTATGTTGAATGGCAAATATTGAAAAAGTTAATGGATGGCTTTAGTAGTGAATATATTGTAATAAACTAGTGATAGCATGAGTGTTTGGGGTATGTAGCCAGGGCTCAAATTGTTAACCTAGGCAAATATAAGTCTGAAATGTAAGTTATGAATTTTGTTCCTAAACGGTTCTCAGTAAATTACATAATCTTTAAAATTTACCATTTTTATTCTTGTTGAGAACATGGAAAAAGAAGGTCAAGGGTGACTTTTTTCTTTAATCATTTGAAACATTTTTTTTTTTATAAATTCTTGTGATTGGCACTAAGACATGCTTTTGTATTTTATTAGCCATTTGAATATTTTTCAAAATCCTTTTTCATAAGATTAATTCTCAGAAAAAAGTATATTATGCTAATTATATTTTCATTTTAACTATATTTTATCTAGTTCATTTCTGTGCTTTTAAATGGAAATTAAGGGGAAAAAAAAACACATGAAAAAGAAAGTTCTTGTGTGTGTACTTGAAACTATCCTAGAATTTACTCAGACTTTTGACTATAGAAATATGACAGGCTAGGTCCCCTGATCAACCCTTTGATTAACAGTAATTAATAAAGCCTTGATGAACAGGAAAATGTAATGAAAATGCAGGTCGTAGAATATGCAAAAGAAGAAATCCAAAGAGGCAAGTTAAAAAGAAACCAGCCTTTATTTTSAGAACATTTGCTGAATTTGGTGAACTGGAGTTCTATTCTTTTAGTTGTTTGAATCTGAGGGGACAAAATCCAGAGTCTGCCCAACATGAGTGGCTCTAATAGAGGCAGATTACCACTCTCTTGGGCTGATTCCTCAGTGTATACGAGTGAGGGCATTAGCCTAATAAAAGGGTTTCTATAAAAACCTAGTTGATCTAGTTAATTATAAAATATTTTAGTATTTAGTTTAAGATTAAAAGTTACTGCTGTCTTCATTTCTTTTCAACACAGTATTGGATGTCTAATTCAGATTTGTAAGGCAAAAAAAAAAGGAGATAAAGCAATTAAAATGAAGAAATAAAGCTATTTGATAATGATTATATATGTAGACAACTCCAAGAATCTAAAAACAATTATTAAAACTTTAAAATTAGCATTAGAGTTTAACAGTGTTGCTGGATGCAAGGTCAATAAAAGAAGTAAATGTATTAAAGAATTAAAGAAGTAAATTAAGAATTAAAGAAGTAAATGTATTTCTATATCTGATCATAAGGTCAATAAATAAAAAAATACTTGTATTTCTATACCTTCACTAGATAGAGAAAGTTTCAGAAAAATAGCTTTAAATATATAAGGTACATAGAATTAACCTAATAAAAGCCACACCAGCTCCTTCCCCCTTGGAAAGTTCAGACTGACAGTGAAAGTCACTGGTTGCCCTATCCCACTTGTTGCTAGCCCAGGGCTTTGTGTTCTGATCACAGTGCTTCTATAGATATTTGCCTTTGGAAGACCTCATTCTTCCTGCTTTATTATACTCACAACTTTCCACTTACCACTTACCACTCCAGCTCTTGTTCATTCCTTTCTGAAGGAGAGTTTGGGTATTTGGAGATTTTCCTCTATTCTCACCATGCTCAGTGAGACTTTTCCCCAGAGTGTTTACACTTATTGTAGAGTAAGTGCAAACACTTTAAGCACTATTGTATTATAACTAATAATATAAATAAATAGTAAATTATATATTGAGTTTTACTATTAAAAACTGCAGATTGAATAATGTTCATTTCCTTTACAAACATCATATCTTCTGTGTGTCAAGTGTACATTGGTATGTGAAGATTACTTATGATTTCCTTTCTCAAAGACCTAATTTTTGCCTGAAATGTTTTCCACTTTGCCTTATAAAAACCACCAGTGTTGCTTTTTAAATAATGCTACTATCCAGTGTCCTTGGAGATGCTGATTCAGTAGGATCAGATCCAGAGTTGATGTTTAAACAAAACTGATCTGATTCTGATGATTGGGAAAATTTGTGAGACACTGATCTAATGTATTGTCATCATAAATTAAGTTTCTCTGTGATTTTCTTTTAACTTTTCTATCTGGACCAGTTATTTTAATGTGAACTATCATATTTCCCGTGCTTGTTAGCGAGTCTGGCTGTTCTCTAAGACGTAATACCTGGCAATAAAGCTGTGAGGATGCAAACTTCAGTTCATAAAATTTCCTTATGCTACTACAAAGAGAAGTTTAGCAGCATACTCTCAGCAGCAAATGGCAGAAGTGCCATTCGTCTCAGGCAGCCTGACTCCATGGTCAGCCCAGACTTCTCTCCCATTCTGCACTGTGCAACTTTCCAGGCGTGCTTCAGGGAATGAGGATCTTGTGACTTCAAGTGAGATTCCTCTTCTATTGTTGGATATCTCTAATTCCTGCCTTGGGATGGACCAAGATCCTTTGTCCTATATATCTCTCACATTGGTCCTTGGCAGGTTCTCTACAGCAGGAGCTGCAATCCATATTCCTTCAGGTTTAGTCTTGGAATAAAGGAACATCTCAGGTTTCTAAAAACACTTGTATATTGGTCATAGTTGGTCCAGTCTCTGATTTGCTTTGTATTAGTACTAACTTGTTTAATTTCCTTGTTCATATATAGTAACCTTCACATATTAGAATGGTATATTGTATGTTTCAGGTCAGTCTCCTCCTATCCCAAACACAATTTTCTCAGTCAAGTCATTTAATCTTCATGAGACTCAATTCTCTCATCTATGATTTAGAGGTAACATTAACAACTTTTCGGACTGGTTTTAAAATTACAGTAATGTAACATTCTATACGTTCATTGAGAGGTAGCTATTTTTTGTTATTTTAGTAATATCTAAAAGTACATACTTTAAGTATATTGTGTGTATATAAGTGGGTCTGATCTGTAATCACATTTCATGTATAACAAAAGTATTTCCCTTCAGCTTTCAAATCAAGGAAAATGTCACTTGTTGAAATTACTTGTTTCTAGAAAAACTTTAAACATTTTGTTTCTAATGGTTCTCATCATTTTCTTAAATGCTTTACTGTTTGATTTATAAGATCAAAGCAAAATTCTTTGAAAGGTGTTGATTAGTGCTGAAAATTATATTTTCAAGCTTATAAGCACATTGCTGTTTGCAATACTATTTTAAAGATGATCTTATTTCTATTTTCAGCATTGCAGGGAGTCGGATTCTGTCAGTGATAAAGGTGCAGCTGACTAAAGGCCAGAACAGCAGGGATCCTTTTTATAAAGCAGTTGAGGAAGCTGCTCAGGCTTTGGACTTGAGGATTAAAAACATTATCAATTCTCAACAAGAGGCTGTAGCTGTCAGCACCCCTGACATCAGTCCTGCCCGGGTAATGAGCTTTTTATTCTTCATTGTGTGTCTAAACAAAACATCATCTCTTATATTTATTAGAAATGGTTTACTACTGATACTTAAGTCTAAAGAGTGCATTTCCTGTGTTCTAAGATGATATTGAAAATTTAATTTTCTCAACAGGATTATGTTCAACTTGCATAAATCATAACATCTTTGGGAAGAATTGTATTGTTAAAGTAAGTCATTGGATAATCTCCAGTACCCTTTGTGACACTAAAAGCTTCTGATTCTTGATGGATACTACAAATACTTTGTAGTATTTCTCAGTAACTATTCTTATAAAATAATTATTTTTCCATTTACTCAGATATAAGTTAAGAGCCTGGCTTCTGACTCCAAGACTGAGTCCTCTGCAGGACAGCAGCAGTTCTATTAGAAATGGTTTTTCCTCAGCAATTAACTTTTTTTATATAGATCTCTGTAATCAGTTATTTCTACCTCTTTTCTACCAGTTTTCCCCATACATGGCAATTTTTAAATTGTATATTCCCAGAACATTTACTTCTTTCTTGATTTTTCTTATGTAGGTAATCAAATATAATAGTTTCTAACCTATGATATTATAGGAAAAATTGATTACCATGTTTTTAGCTCTAGAACAGAATTTTGGAGTATGCCTTTTAATTCATTTATTGCAGTTTATCCAGTTAACAAAAGCCCGTTTACATTAGGTGTTATTATGACAACCAGTATATAGACATAAACTTGCTTAATTTTATCATTTACTGATTCATTCACAGACCTTGATGGCCATTTGTAGCTATTTTTCTATAATAATACATCTTTTTAAATTTACTTTGAAGGAATGGCATGGGGGAGACTCTGGGATCCACCTCATTTATTTCATATATCTTAACATTTCCAGCAACTAGTTTGCCTCAGATGACAACCAGATTATCCTTGTAAGTGATAGAAACTGTCACAATCTCAGGTAATTAAGAGCACCAGTCTCTTCCATATGGCAAAAGAAATAAGATATAAACAGCCTGGTTTTTAATTTTATGTTTTCTACCAAATCACAAATATTTTAAAAATTTCAATCAAATAATACTCAAGGAAGTTAATATTAAACTAATGGAAACTATATGTTAAGCACCAGATTGTGATAAGCCATTTGTTTTAATTCCCATGGAGCTGCACATTAGAGTTCACCTGGTAGCCTGAGTCTGCCGAGTTGGTAAAAGCTGGGGAAACTGGCATAGCTGCAGTAGATGGCCCAGAAAATGCAGCTTTGTTATCTTGGCACAGTGTTCATCGGCCCTGTGTGTCTGGCACTATCATGGCCCCTGTTTTGCCAGTGAGTCTAAGAACAGAGGAGTACATACAATGAATAATCTGGTATTGAACCCAGGTTTAAGAACAGAGGAGTAAAGAAATTTCTCAAGAGTTGTATAGCATATACAGTTAATAATCTGGTATCAAAATCTACAGTTTGTGTTTACATATATCTATCTGCAAAATTATTTTATCATATATTCTCTTTTTTTCCTCTATCTAGTCACTAAGTTTTTCTAGCCCACCCTCCTTTTTTGGAGATGGGGTCTTATTGTATTGCCTGTTCTGTCTTGAACTCTTGGACTCAAGTGACACTCCTGCCTCAACCTCCTGAGTAGCTGGAACTACACTGCACCTGGCTTGTCTCTCCCTTTTTAATCTATTTTATCTCTAGTGCTACCTTCAGACCTGTCATACCTAAAATGGCCTTTTAATTTGTGACCCTGTCTCCAGATTTGATAATATTCTTATCCTGAAATATATTTTACACATTGCCAGCATCAATTAAAAAAAAATTTTTATTAGCCACACATGACATTATAGATCTTGGCAATTCATACATTTGAATCAATTGGAATTTTTTCAAAATCTAAGTAATGTTATTGTACTTGCTTGCTTGATAAAGCAAGAGATTTTACCCGTGTAACCGACTGATTTATAACTTCTTTGCATAGTGTACAGAGCTTTTCCAGACTCATCCTGTGTTACTTCCTCCCTGTATTTTGTTCCCCAGCCTTGTCATTCTACCTAGTCTTTTGTTCCCCATCTTGTCATTCTTCTTAGTCTCCAAGAGTGCTATCTATGCTCATTCCTACCGCTGTATGTCTCTTCCTCTGACACCATCCTTGACTCCACAGTACACTGACCACTTTGTTTTGTATGCTTCTGCACCATTGTATATATACTTGTTAGAAATATCAATTAGCATTCTGTAATATGATGTGTTGATTACTTATTTATCTTATCAATATGCCCAAGGCTGTGGGTTCTTTGAAGGTAGTGATTTTCACCTTTGTAGCTTTAGCTTAAGGCATAGTACTTGGAATGTACTATATACTAATAATGATGATTGAATGAACTAGTTTTCACTTTTGCATTTGATTAGATCTTAACAACCATCTCTGCGGGTTAGTATTCAAATCTCCAAAACTTTCTCACTCTTTGATATAAGAGAGAAGATGCACCTCCTAGGGCTGAGATTATATAGATAGAGATTGGCTAAGTTTTTCTGATTCAAATGTTATTTTGATCCGAGCCTAATATTTTCCTTTGGTGATATTTTTTGTGCATCTAAAAATGGAGAATATTGATAATAATACGGCTTCGAGGGGAAACATTAATATGTCTTATAGCCACTTCTCATAGCTTATGTTTTGTTACTTCAACAACAGAGGAAGAAGAGTGGCAGATGAAATGGAAAAGTGTGGCTGACTCAACCTAGTAGCAGCGATTTTTACATTTATTTAAAATTGCTTTTTGTTCTAGCCCAAATCTCATGCCATCAACCATGACACATCATACTGTGGCAGAGATACCGTGAAAACTTTACTAGTTCTCTTGGATGAAGAAGCAGCCCGTGCTCCTACCAGAAACAAAGCAGAGCTTTTATATGGTGACGAAAGCACCATTCATTGTAATGCAACTTCTATTCTTACACTTTTTACGTAAGTACCATGGAAGTCATATGTGTATAAATATTAATTCTGGAAATTTTGAAAAAACACTTGTTGATTATAAAAGAAATATATGCTTATAGTAGGAAGGTTGGAAACTATCAATAAGTATGAAGAAAGAAAACAAAAGTTAAAGGGAGATTGAACATTTAAATGCAAAGAGGTTATATATTATTTTGTGAGAGTATTGCAGGTGTTTTCGGTTTCAATGTTGCTTTTTATTCTCGTTTTTTGATTTAAGAACACATTTGCTTTACCGTGTGTTAGGAACTTGACTAAATTCTTTTGCTTAAATTATCTCAGCCCTCACAACTCCTTTTAGTAGTATCTCCACTTAGTGAAGAATTAGACACTTGAGGGAGGGAGAGAGAGAGAGAGAGAGCCCAAAAAAGCAAAGTTAACAAGTAGCAAAGATTTCTTTCTCCAAAGCCCAAGGCCTGAGCTCTAAGGACTGCTGTTCACCCTGCAAATAAGAAAAGGCATATATACATTGGAATTGACATTTTCTGGTCTTTCTCACCTTATAAAGAAAAATATGCTAAATAAGACCTTGATGGTGTCTCAGTCCTCTTTGACTTAGACAGCCATAGACTGGGTGGCTTAAATATCAGAAACTTGCTTTCTGTTTGGGCTGGAAGTGTGAGATGGGACGCCAGAGCTCTTGGTTCTGGTGAAGGCTTTTCTCTCGGGGTACAGATGATTGCCTTCTTGCTGTGTGCTCACATTGCCTTTCCTTAGCGCCTGTACAGACATTGCCCTCTTCCTCTTCTTGTAAGGCCACAGATTAGGAATTTGCCTATCATACCTTACCTGTATGATCGAATTTAACTATAATTATTTCCTAAAAGCCCTATTTTCAAATCAGTTATATCTGGGATTAAGGTTTCAACGTATCTTTTTTGGAGGGATACATTTCCATCTATAGCAGATACTCTCTAGTTTAAACAGCAATTAAGTTGGTTACTCAATAAGTGGGTAAATTCTTAATTAAGTAAACATAGGCTTCTAGGAATTTTAATGATTTTTAGAACAACCATTTCAAATTTTAAATTTAGTACATTGTAGAAAAATTTCATAGAATCATCCTACTGTTTGATCATTTCTGTTTTCTATAGGAGGTACTTTTTAGAGATCTGTTTTTAGGTCTGAAATTGCTTATCTCCATTCACGATTGCTTCAGGGGCTGTCTCCCATGCCTCAGTATCTTTTTTCTTCTCTTTAAAGAGTGACTTCTTCATGGGTTTTCATTCAGTGTGTTATCTCATTCGTTACATCTCATCTTCCTTACTAGCTTTCCTTGACAGTTCTTCTGTCTTGGCACAGTATAATTCTTCCACAGTCTACTTAAAAATGCCCACATGTTATCCTAACAATGGAAATTTCTCTAAAGAATATTTTACTGACACTGTGCTGGAATCTCAGAAAGCAGAATAAAGACAATGATCCTTTCTTTTTTTTCCATTTAACAAAATATGCTTTTAGGTAGAAATATAGATAATTTTAATTTTCTGTTGGATTAAATTACATCATTTTGGGGGRAAATTTTTCTATTTGTAGAATTTGTTTAAACCAAATTCCTGGGTCCATTTTAAAAAGAGATTTTCCTGTACTTTAATCATGTGGCCAAACACGTTTCAATTATGAGGGAATTCCACATTAGCACTTTAGTTGTCATTGTGCAGACAGTCCATAGTAGGGAAAAATTTTCATTATCTGCACCAAAATGATAAAATTAAGCACAATGTAGTATATGAATTTAGGTCAATGTAAAGTTATTACTATTTTTTCTTAGGGTAAACTACCCTTTACTCTTATATAAATAATGATCTTTGAGTCAAAGAGGTTCAAGTTTTGGCTCTATTAAGCTAAAAAGGAATTAATTTATTGAGGAATATGGGTTGACACAGCAGGCTGCAGGATCTCCTCCATTTTGCCTTCTCTAACCTTCCAATTCTATGTTTTCCTTTCCCTACTCTTTTGACTTTTACGTATGTAGATATCTTATTTCCCTTAGTTAGACCTTAGTTAGACCTTAGACCTGGATATAGAGTCAATGAAAGAATCAACATTTACCCTGAAAAGGTTGCATTATTCCCTTTAAGGGCATAATATAGTGCCTTGGAAATAAATTTAGAAGATCAAGAAATATTTAGTTATTGAATTAATTAAGCAAATTATTATTAGGATTCTCAAATAGGGTTGTGGATACTTATACGAAGTATTATAAACATATAGCTTGAGCTGTTCTTTATCCTTTAGCCACTTTTAGGTAGAGCAGTGAGGGAAAACTAGCTTGTAAATTACTTTGGTTTATGAGAGTCTTCATTCATATAACAAGATAGCTTACATTGAATCATTTGTAAATAATATTTATTTCTCATCATTCTGAAGGCTTGAAATCTAAGTTCAAATTGCCAGCACATTCATTGGTATTCACAGGTGAGGGCCTATTCCTTGCAGATGACACCTTCTTACTGCATGTTCATGTAGCAAAAAAGGTGGAGGGGCCCAAGGGGCCAAACAGGATCTTTTATGCCTTTTGATAAGGTCATTAAATTCCTTTGTGAAGGCAGAGCCCTCATGACCTAATCACCTTCTATAGGTCCCACCACTCAACTTTTGTAGGTCTCACCTCTCTTGTTTTGGGGATTAAGTGTCAACATAAATTTTGGAGGGACATAAACATTGAAACCACAGCAATAAGTTTTTGTCTTTTTTTTTCCATAGCTCTCCCACACAAGTGAATAACTCATCAGTGAAACCCCTAAGAGAACGCATCTATAAGTCAATGCAAGAGAAAAAAAATAAGGTACAATTTAGTGTACTGTCATGAAAATGATATTGTTTTGTTTTTAGAATAAATAAATATTTAAAGTTGAGGGGCATATTGTAAATATACATTGCCTATGACCCAGTAAGAATGAATTGGAAAATGAGTAATGAGGATTGACATACAGAAATTTTCCTTTTATACAATCTTAACTAATCTGTTTTGGCTATTTAGTTCCCTAGACCTACAAGAAGAAAAGAAATAAGCAGTTGTTATTGCAAATATTGACTAAGTATCTGTTGAATGAATGGGAAAATAAATAAGACATGGGCTTCTCATTTGCATTTCTAATACCTTAAATGGAATCTTGAGAGACTATGTGTGCTAGCTTTCTATCACTATTACAAATACATTAGATAATCAATACGTAAAGAAAAAAGGCTTACCTATCTCAAAATTTCAGAGATTCCAGTCCATAATTGATTGGCCCTGTTGCTTATAGGCCTGTAGTGGGGGTACTGGGTGGCAATGGCAGGGAGCCTGTGGCAGAACAAAACCATTCACTCCATGGCCAGGGAGGAAAAAGAGAGGAGGGGAGAAGAAGGGGCTAGGGTCCTACTATCTCCTTCAAGGGCATGTCCCCAATGACCTGAAGACTGCTCACTAGGCCCCATTTATGTCACTACTCCCAGTATTGCCAAGCTGAGGACCAAGACTTTTACACATGGGCCTTTGGAAAATGTTCCAGATCCAACTATACTACCATGTAACTTAAAATTGTACTTGAATAAAGATATAATGGCAGAATGTAAATAATTGTAGATCAGCATGGGAAGGATATTTTATATTGTTCTTGACTAGAGCAGCTCTTTATATTTTTATTTAGTCTGAACTGTCTCATACAAAACATTTGTCTATAAGTAGTTAATAATGTATTTCTTTAAGCATTTAAAATTTTCTTGGTCTTTGTTTCTTTTTAAAGAAACTTGGTTTTAATTCATTCGATTATATAATATACTTTTATTGAGTATCTACTATGCATTAGACACTGTTGTAAGCTGAGAATTATTAATTTTTTAAACACATTTTTATATAAAATATATAATTATCCTTAAATCATCAAATAATTATTCATCTTGACACAACTAAAAAGAAAACTATAGTTTGTATGCCCTTTCTGCTCCTTGGGCCAATTGGCAAAGCTTTTTTTTTTTTTTTGGTACTGACAATTGAACCCAGGAATGCTTTAGCTTTAAGCCACTTTCCCAGCCCTCTTTTATTTTTTTTATTTTGAGATAGGGTCTCGCTAAATTGACAAGGCTGGCCTCAAACTTTTAATCCTCCTGCTTCAACCTCCTGAATCTCTGGGATTAAATGCTCAGCCAAAGCTTTTGATTATAATATATTTCATCTATGTACCTCAAATTCATTAATTTATTACTAACTATTGTCTTTCTGTTGGTTATTAGTAGTTGTTAGTACTTAATGCCTATGGAACACATCATTGAATTTTGTTGTTTTCTATCATTATTTTGTCAATTCTTTATTATATTGTTATAAGTATTTGTAGTATAATCACATAAACACATTTTTAAGGACATAGCAGGGCTATGTTAGCAAAGAAGTGTAAATAAACTAAACATCTGGAGAGGATAAAGTCTTTGGGAGATGAGCAGATTGATGTTGGCTATTTTCTCCCCTGGTATTATTTGCTAGTGTTGGATATGAGCTGATGATTGACTTTGGCCCACATAAAGGAACACTACTGAAGTAAAAATGGAACCAACCTACCAACAAAGCTTTTTGGGTGTCTTGAAAGGCTTTTTACCCAGGACACACATGCTTGATTTTGTAGCTATGGGAGGTATGGGCTAAAATCACGTGTGGTCTTATTTGGAAAAGGAGACTGGGGCTGGGGCTGGGGCTGGGGCTCAGCAGTATCACATGTTCCTGGCATGTGTGAGACACTGGGTTCATTTCTTAACACTGCATATAAATAAGAAAAGGAGACTCAGCTTGAGGAGTGGGACCTGCCTCAGGCACATGGCTGCCCTCCTTTTTTTTAGGACATTTGAAAATGAACTAGGGGAGGAGGTCAGAGAGCAGGGTGTGAGAACCTCTGAAAAACAGACCCAAACCCCCAGACTTCCAGGCCAGAGGCTGTAGACATCCCCACAAGCCTGGAGGAGGGACAGGTCCAGAGGATGAATGTGAGTTACGGTGTGTGTGGTGTGGCTGCCTCTGTCTCTGTTGAAGAGAGCAGAGTCTATTCTGTATATGCCTTTCTAACTCTGAGCTTTTGCTTACTCATGTTTTCTATTCCCTCATGGCTTCTCGCATACCCTTGTTATGATCTTAGTTTTACTTCTTCATTCATGAATTCATTCAGCCAACCCTCAGCACCTCCTGTATAGCAGACTTGATGCTGGACACTGGAGATGACATAACTGTGAACAGGGCAGACAAAACACCCTGCTATGGTGGACAAAGCTTCTTCACATATTTGTGCAGCTGAGGTAAAAGAACTAAAGAGAAGGCCTTAGCCTAGGCCTACTGCTACACCCTCTTCACACCTAGCTTTGTTTCATACTTGAGGGGACATAGCATCAGAAGACTTGTTGTGGGTACCCTACTCCCCATCACCCTTGCCATAGCAGTCAGCTCTTGAACCTGGAGGAAGAGGCCAATGTCGTCCAGTGCCCAGGGATTCCAGGAGCCTGGTGCAGGACTTAAGAGGGGTGTCTGGTCTCCTGGTGGGCATGTCTGAGGCCTTGTGGTGGGATACACCACAAGGTGGTGAGAGGAGGACCAGAGGGGCCAAGAGTTGCCAAACTTTAAAAGTTTTACTCTTTATGGAGTTTATATTTTAGCTGAGGAAAGCAGATAATAATCAAAACAAACAAGTAGATTTTATGGTATGTTAGAAGGCTATCAGTGCGATGGGGAGAGGGCTAAGGAGAAAATGCTCTTTGCATGTGTTCTGATTTTATGTAGGATGATAAATAGAGGTCTCCTTGACAAGATGATATTGAGCAAAGACTCTAAGGGAATGAGAAGCATCATTTATTAGAATGAAGAAGGAATGTTTGTATTAGACTAAAACTGAATTTGTTTTGGTAAATGAATGAAGTTGGATTTTATTGAGTATCTACTAAGTGTCTTGGACATCTTGTATTGATGATCCTTGCTCAACTCTAGAAGGCATTGTTTTCCCATGTAGCTAGTAATTAAGAGAGCAGGGATTTGTATTCAGGTGTCAAGATTTTAGGTTTATGCTATCTCCAAAGAGTAAATAGAGGCAGCATAATTATAATGAAGGGTCACAAAAATATAATGTTACTATTTAGGTCAGGATGGTTTTTTTTGGCTATTTAGCAAAGTAAATGAAATTTGACAGATAAAGAATGAATGTTTTGAAGTATGTACAAATTCACATGCCATCAAAGTTGCCAAATCTCTGCTTTTGAAAATGTGATCATGTAAGAATCAAAAGATAAATTTGAATATTTATTTCAGTTAATAGGTATGTTGAGAATAATGTCCATTTTCAAACTTGAGAATCTACGTGTTGGTATGGTAGAGGTTAGAACTTCTATTTTCTTAAKACTGCAGCTAATTCAGAATGGCTGTGACTTTTCTGTGTTTTGACTCATTCATCTTAATTTAACTGGAGTCAGGCTTTCCTATGTGAAGTACTATTTTCCTCAAACTGGGAACCTACTAATAATTTCAATTTAAAAAGAGCTTGTGGCAAAAAGACTTCAATTCTTGGCAAGTTTGAAGTTCATTGCAATTTTACTGTGGATAGAAATCTTTCCAAAGGGGGGAAATCACTCTACAAAGGAAAACTTTCAATCCGTTTTTCTCATGTGACTTGAACATAAAATGATTTTAACAGCCATGTATGAATCTGGACATTATTCTTAGTTGTTTAGTACTTCAAAAGCACTTTCAAGAGGGAATTGTTTTGCTTATTTGTGATTCCAAATCAAATACACAGAGAGATTTGGAAGATTTGCCACAGGAAGTAATCTTAATTCTATGTAGCCACTAATCTTATGCAGAAAAATCCAACTTTTATGAACAAAGAAAAAGCAATCTCTTTTAAGTTATAAATACAAGCCGATGTAGCTTGCATTGTTTTAAAAATTAAAATGAAAAAACTGATTATAAGTTCTTTTTTTAGCTGCATTCTTAGGTTCATTTTAGAATTAGCCTGGATCTGGGAGATGTAATTCAAAAAATCTTATTTTGTAGGAATGCCTACTTCATATATGTTACTACAATAATAACTATACAGTATCTTCATTATAACTCTAATATAGTCTATCCATGTTTTTTACTTCATATAATTCTGGAAATACTGTGAGGTGTTATTTTATTTGTGTGGAAAAGTGAGAGGTATAATGGCTTATCCAAGATTTCTATCTAATAAGTAATAGGGCCAGTGTTAGAAGCTGGGCCTTTCGACTACAAATCAGGTGCTCCCCCCACCACTATCATTTTTGTCTTTCTGTGGTGCTTTGTTAGCTGGACATCACATTGTTGACTTCAGTCAAGTTCATGATCACTTAAAATCTGTAGGTCTTTTTCCTACATAGTTTTCAAGTCAAGTTCTCCTCATCCTGTACATATGTAATTGATATTTTTGGACTAAATGTAGGACTTTGTTTATCCCCACCCATTTTCATCTTATTATTTTCTACTTATGGTTTCTAGACTTCTGAATCTTTTCAATCTTGAGTATGTTATCCAGTTTTTTATTCCTTCCAGCCGTATGTCAACAGCAAATTTTATAAATAGAATGTCTTTGTAATTATAGAAGACATCCTAGTTACCTCCTTTGTATACTGTGTGCCTGTTGCAAAGCTGGAACTTAATAAGAGCCATTCTCATTTCTCTTTTGTATACTGTGTTCTTACCACATAAGGAACTTAATAAACAGTAACTGATTTAAAAAATTTTGTACAAGACAGAGAAAAGTAAATCTCTCTATGTATAACTTTTTATAAGAAAGAAGAAAGACCCTTAGTATAACTACTCTCAATTATTTCTTTTGGATGCAATTTTCCAACACCTCCATAGAGCTATTATTGTTTTCCTTCTCATATCTTGATATATTTATAATTGCTGTTTTTCATAATAAATTTTATAATTGCTGTTTTTTCATAAAGTGATTTTTTTCCCCTCATTTGAACCTGTTCTGTACTTTAAGAATCTATTGCCTCATAACTGTGGTTTTCTAGAACTGTCCTATGGTCACTAAGGGCTCCAGCATTACTCTACAGGGGAACTGAAGAGAGGAAATCCAGGTAGTTGTAGCACCAATTTCGACTGTATGTACACAGAAAACAAAGATTTTTTACTTAGATTGTATATTAATAAATAAATTAATAAAAGTAACAAAGCTTGCTGAAGAAATTTCTGTTTATGCTAAACATGAGATTGAGAAAATATCAGTTGTCTGTAGTAAATAATATAATTATTGTATTTTTATTTAGAGTGTTTTATTGGTGTTGCTGATGAAGATTTTGTAGTGGGAAGAAGGTACCTATAGGTGCCTTTGCTCAGCAGGTACTGAGAGAGTGATCCAAGACAGTCACTTAGCACCTCTTTGCCTGTAAGGTCTTATCATACTTTTTGTAACTCTTTGTAAGGAATAGTTTATAATTCTCTATAAAGCAATAACTGGTGAAATGAAAAAAGTATGTGAAAAGATAATGTCCATGATTAGTTCTGGTCTTGCAGATGGAAATAAAAGTTCACAGATAATGTTACATAGCAATGATATGATATAATATAATATAGAGTGTGTTTTTTCATAAAACTTATTTTAAYAGCTTTATAATTTGTTTTAATTCTATATTTATAGGGTTATATCCAAAAAGAGCTACCTAAAACTTTCTATTGTATTATAGGAAATCTTGTGGTTGGAATAACAGGAGTTGTATTCATAGACCCATTCATTATCAGCAGCCAACTCTAGTTTGCTTTCTTAAAAAACATAACTTTTTGATCTTCTACATTTTTTTGTGCAATTTTTGTGGGTAAGTGGAAGACGACAACAGTTGTCTAATGCCTCATTAAAGCACATAAAACATAATTTTTAGTGATCTGGGAAAAAGAGGTTCTCCCAAACCTACTGGACAGAAAAATAGAAAATTTATTATCCTAACAAAATTTGCCTTTATGAAACGGCCGAACAGAAGACTGTTCTAATTTCTTAAACCATAGTCAGTGGTTTTACTGCCATTATCTTTGCAACATCTGAGTAGAATGATACACTGATCTCTTTGAATATATAACATACTATAACATACTATAAATTATTGAATATAATATGCTGTATATATAAATCTAATTTATAGTCATTTATTATCAATAAATAATATTGAGAATACTGTATTTATTATAGTTTGAAGTGTTTTTAGGATTTGAAATGATTTCTAATTATTTGGAGAAATCTTCCCATTATAACTGAGTGGTTACAGAAAAACTTAAATTTTGAAATTTGTATTACATATATAGGCTACTTTGTTCTGAAATTAATTCCTATCTTTAAAACAGCCCAGTGGTTTTATGTTTGCAGAATACATTTCTGAAACTACTTTTTTTGCTATGTCCTTTTGAATTCTTAAATTTTATTTTAATTCTTAAAGTTTCTTCATTTTCAAAGCTAATTCTTAATTGACTCTTTCTAATTTTTCTCCAAATTAGGAAGAAAGTTAAGAGTTCCTATTTTATGTCTGATAGATGCAAGAACATATTTTGAATTTTTTTTAAATTTATTTTTTAGGTGTAGATGGACACAACACAATGCCTTTATTTTTATGTGGTGCTGAGGATCGAATCTGGGTCCCGCCCATGCTAGGCGAACGCTCTACTGCTGAGCCACAATCCCAGCCCCAATATTTTGAATTTTTAACTATTAAAATATTGGTTGAATCTTTTTAGAATGATACATTTAGATCATCTTTCTTGTTTTCCTACACATACAAATTTTAAACAAGAAAATGCCTTTCCCCATTTCTTTTTTCATGCTCTTTTATTTTCTGTTCTTCTTTTGACCTCTCTTATTTCTCTTTTTTGTTTTATCATTTCTCCCTTCCTCAATTTCTTTACTTTGAATTCCATATGGTGTCTTTCCAAAAGAATTGTGCTCTATTTCTTAGAATGTAGAACTTGTATTTTCTATGATTATGCATATGAGTATTCTTTTCACTTATAATAAAATTCATTCTCCAAAGCAGCAGCCCAGACACAGGAATGTGTAACAAAAACCTCTGAAGAGTCTAAAGTTGATTTTTTAACAAGTATTTAAAAAAAAATCAGAAATATACATAAAGCTAATATTGCTGAAAGAAAAAAATGCCAACCATGGCAAAGAGTGAGTTTGCAAATTATAAAACAAAAAAGGTCAAAAGTTTCCAATGAATAACAGAATTAAAAAAAAAACATGTATAGTTGTAGTTGGACACAATACCTTTATTTTATTTATTTTTATATGGTGCTGAGAATTGAACCCAGTGCCTCACTCATGTGCTAGGTGAGTGCTCTATTGCTGAGCCACAACCCCAGACCCAAATAACAGAATTTTTAAGGGAAATTTTTTTATACCTCAACCATTATAGAATGTGTGTTTATCTAGATAAAAACATAAAATAAAGTATAAATTGTGTATTTTTTTCTTTTTTTCTGTTACCAGATGACTCAAACATTAATTAGATCGCAGTTTGCTTGTACTTATAAAGATGACTACATGATAAGCAAGGATAAATGGAATAACATGAATTCTGCATCAGAACCTTTATGTGTTCTTCATATGGAAAACAACCTTGCTGGTGATTGACTTTATTTGAACAAATAAATAACAATTTGATTCTAGTATGCCAATTGGTTTTAATTTATATAAACCCAGATTATTTTTTTGCACAGAGCTATGAAATGTAAAGGCTTATGTTTTTAAAGCCTGAGTTTACTTAAGAGAGTAAATCTAAGTACAAATTTATGGAAAGGAATACGACAGTTTGATTTAACTAAATGTATTAAAAAATAATTCATATAATTTACTTAAATATTAAATGTCATATATTGAAACAAATATTTATTGATAGGGATGAGAAGTGGTATGGCAGAATGAAAATTAATGTTATAATGTAGTTATATTTGTTAATTATTTAATTGGTTAGAATTATTTTATTGTAAATCATAAATTTTTTAATATTATTTAGCCATTTTTAAAATTTATTTTAAAATTGTCACAAGTTATAATATGAATTATTATATGATTTCTTTCCCCTTTTCATCTTGCATAACAGAGGGTATAAAATCATCTGTTGGAAAATCAACAATTGCAACAAGTTCTGGAAATGTTCATCTGGACAGAAGTGAAAATGACAAAGTATCAAGAAAATCAAGTGGCCAGACAGGAAATAAAAGCTCAAAAAGGAAACAGGTGGATTTGGATGGCGAAAATATTCTCTGTGATAACAGAAATGAACCACCTCAACATAAAAATGTTAAGAAACCTAAAACATCAAAGGATTCACAGAATAAATTGGATAACGAAGTAACCAAAGTAGCAAAAGGCAAAAAGTATACTTCTAAGGCCAAATTCATCACTGGCCAGACAAAGTTAACTCAATTTTTTAGACTATGATTGTGTCTTTTATGTGTTTTAGATTTATGCATATGGAAAGCTGTACACCAAAGTCACATGTTTAATTTATAAAAGCTCAAGGTGTCAGTTGTGATGCTTTTAAATTTTTCTTTGAAGTGAACGTAAGGTTCATGTGATAAGCATTGTTTAAAAACAACACTGAGTCATAATTATGCAGAATTTTCACAAAGTTTAATATACAGAAAAAGCACATCATTTAGATTATTGGTATGTCTTAACACTACTTTCTTTTAAAGCAGACATTTAAAATAATATACAAGTTATAGAACATTAAAGGTTTTCTTCCCACTGGCAATGAAATGGTTTTGTTTTCTTCCCCAAAGATGACGTGAACCAACAGGTATCAGACTTGCCAACAAGGCCGGTAGACTCTCCCCAGCATGCACCTGAGCACTGAAGGAAGAATAAAATAGTTTAAATTACTCAAAGTACTACAATCATCACACAGAACTAAGAAATAATAATAATAATAATAACAACAACAAGAATGGATCTACTATAACTAATTCTGAGTAAACCAAAATTATCATACCTAAATGCTTCTTATTCCCACATTTTTGACAGTCACTTAATGTCAACTGGAATTGAACATCAGTCTTATTTGATTTTGTTATAATGAGATCCAAATTCAGTTAAATTCAGAGGTCTTTTTATGGTATTAAGATGTAAGAACTGAATTTTAAAAGACTACTCACTGTCGAAATCTCTCCTTCCTATTGGAAACTTAGCTGAGTTTTCTTCATCCCCAATTTCTCTCTTTTCTTGTGTTGATTCAATATTCTGAACTCCATTCTCAACTGGAAAAGCTACAGATCCCTTTAATGCAAGATAAGGCTTTATAGCCAGATTCAGTGGCAGACCATGACTCACAAAATTATGTTTGGAGCCTGTGTTCTGTGAAGAGAAAATTTGTGTTTTAGCTGTCTTCTTTGGAATGGAGCAATGATACTATTGTTTAATGCCCTTATTGATCAACTTAAAGATGTTCTGCACTAGTTTTGACTCCTTAAAAATAGCTTAGATACAAGTTTAGTCGGGGGGAAAAAAACTTTTGTATAAAAGATATTCTCTGGGATGAGAGAGCCACCTGTTTTACATGAATTGTCATCAGTTATCCTACTAATGCATATTGTCACTATTTGCATATATTTCTATTTATTAAATAAACATGTCAATTTTTCTTTTCAGAAGATTTAAAAAAGTAATTTACATTTCTGTTACAATAAAAGACAAGTCACATAGCTACTCACCTTTGAATTTTTGTTTTCCTCATCATTCATGAAACTGTTCTCATCATTTTTATACTGTTCCAGAGAAGGGGCAACAACTGATCTTTCTGCAGTATCTTCCTTCTGAAAGGCTTTTCCCATCCGAAATGTATTAAACACCACGTCATCTTCTAAATTTCTTATGGACTTGGAAGCTGAAAGTAAAATACCTTGAGAAAACAGAGAAAAAGTTAATATTAATATATAGGAAGAGAGACTCATTTTTGCCATTCTTAGTTTGATGTTTGCATAAAGACAAACAAGGATGTTTCCCTGTCAACCTGCTTGCTAAATCCTACCTTTATATATTTTCCAGGTTGAATAGAAAGCACTTCAAAGACTTACACTTTCATCATTTTAGACATGACTCATCAGATAGAGGCTTTTGTATAGCTGCTAATACCTACATTGTTTTGGATCTAGTGGCATATTGTTTATTTTAAGTGTGACTTTTCTGAGAATCTGATTAAGATCCTTGGTAAAAGGCTTTCCGTGGAGTAGATTATAGTCTCTTGAAAATGGGTAGTTATTAAGGAAGACCACAGGACATCAGGCTCTTTCAAATATTATTGTTTCCTTCAGTGTATTTTCTGATTAAGATATTAAAACTCAAGTTACTTCACTCAAGGATAAGGATAAAAGTTTTTATTTTCTTTTAATTCGGATTAAATTGAAATAATCTTCAGAAGGGATTTTCTTTGATAAACACTTGATATTGTCTTTGGTGTTTAAATGACATAAACTTGTCAGTGTGAACAAAAAGGCATTCATGCTTCATCTAAAACTGACCTGTCAGATGTGTTTTGTCTCTATGTTTACAAAAGGATAACGCTGATATTTATTAGTGGATTTAGCAGTAAATGATTAAGATGTCCTGGAAAAGAATATTTATGTGCTCCATAAATGTTAATTTTGGATGTTATAAGATTTTTAATCATACATTTCAGAATTAATGTCTACTTTTGATTCCAGTGAGTAAGAGAATATATTCTCATATGTTTTCTGGTATATACGTCTAAGATATTTTTAGGGTATATTCCAAAGTATGGGATTTTTGGACCCTGGAGTATGCATATATTCAGTTTTACTAATGCCAAAATATTTTCTAGAAGAGTAGTAATCGGTTTATGCTCCCAGCAGCAGGATCTGAGGAGTCCCATTCTTCTATGTCCTAGCCAATGCTTAGGTATTCCCTTTTAATTTTTATTTCTCTAACTACCAAAGAGGTTGAGTGCCTTTTCATATGTCTGTGAGCCATTTATCTTTCCATTTAATGTAAAATACCTTTTCTCTCTCTGTCCATTTTCTATTGGGTTGTCTTTTTCTAATTGATTTATGGGAATTCTTTATATAATATTTTGGTTGTTAATGATTTGTTAGCCCTCTGTGGTACAAATATTTTCTCTAAGGTTTTTGTCTTGTCTTCTCAGCCTTCTTGTAGTATTTTTGGGTGAACCAAACTGATTAATTTTTAATGTTTAATATTTTTTCTTTATGATTAGTACTTTTTTAATGTGTTATTTTTTAGAAATCTTTCCCAATTTTGAGATTATTAGCATATTCCCATATATTTTCTTTTAAAAGTTAAAATATTTTTATTTTTACACTTAAATTTTTAATTTATCTGGAATTTTGTGTATGATCTTAGAAGTAGAATTTTACTTTTCCAATATTCTTACATATTTCTCAATTGAATCAGCCTTTCCCTGCTGATCTGCTATGGCACCTGTGCAGTACAACAGGTTTGTGTGTGTGTGTGTGTGTGTGTGTGTGTGTGTGTGCCTTTCTGAACTCTTTATTCCACTATCATTTTACAGTTTTAATTAATATAACTTTATATTTTTAATATCTGAAGGTAATTTTTCTCAGCCCTCTCCTTACCCACCAGTTTTACTTCAACAGCAGTTCCTTGGCTACTCTTGAACATTTCTTTTCCTTATATATCTTAAAATCAGCTTTTCAACTTCTGGGAGAAAATTTGATGGGATTTCAAGGTAATTTCATTGATTTTATAGATTCATTTTGGAGAGAAGTCGAATTATTTAACTAAATGTATCTTTTTTAAAACTACTTTTTCCAGCATTATTTCTGGTATGCACAAATGCAGTTGGCTTTTGTATTAGTGATCTAATATAGAAAAAAAACTTTCTAAATTCTTTAATAGTTTATAAAATTTAGATACTTTGGCATTTTCTATGAAGACAATTAATATTGATAATAAAACAGAGGCATTGTATTTCTTCCTTGTAAGTGTGTTTATATTGTGTGTGTGGTGCACGCCTATGTTCATACAGACTTGGCCAAAACTTGCAGTATGTGTTGGGAATGGAGATAACGCTGTTGTGTTCATGAACTGACAGAATGATTTCAGTGTCTCACCATTGAGCATGATGTTTGCAAAGGCTTATTACAGACACTTTTTATAAGGTGAAGGGTRTTCTATTTCTGGATTACAAATAGATTTTTTTTATTATGCATTGTTTTTCAATCTTATTAAATGCTTTTTCTGCATATATTGTTGAGATGATCATTTTCTCCTTCAGTCTTTAATATGCTAAGTTGGTAGATTTCTCCARTGTTAATTTAACCATGTGTTTTGAAACAAACCTTTTAATTATATTCAATATGGCAATATTTGATTTAGGACATTTTACATTTATTATATGTGAGACTCATCTATAATTTCCTCTTGTAAATTAATATTCTACTAACTTCATAATTGAACTGAGTGGGAAGATTTATTCTTTATATTTTTTCCTACTATTAAACTATTTGGGCTTTATGTTTACTTAGTGGGAGTTTGTCTTTTAATGATTAATTTACTTTTTTTAGTGACTATAGAAACATTCAATTCTCTGTATCTTTTAGTTTGTTTTAGGAATATACATTATTCTGTAGTTTGTCCATTTCACTTCAGTGTATTTTATCAGAGGTAGATAGCTGCTGATTCACCTGGAGGCTACCTAAATCTTTTAGGCAGATGGTCTCTTAGCATATTTATAAAGAGACTGTCATCCCCTGAAATCTTTGCTCTTAGAGTTCCATTATCTTTATAATGTTTCTGTTTGTTCTTTGGTTTGTTTCCCAGAGCTGAAACCCACTCTAAAGGTGCCTGTTTAATCTACAGAAATGCTTGTTAATGGTAACTGTTTTTTCTTAGCTGCTGTTTTGGAAGTATATAAATATTAACAATTATGTATTTTGATTTAGGTTTCCATTGGTCAAATTGGTTTGGCTGATCTTCATCCAAAATTGAGACCAAATCCAAACCATTTTGACGGTTTAGAAAAGTTAGTTAATGTTTTCCTTTATTTTGCTTAAACTGTCATAGCCTCTTGAACATTATGAGGTTCTCCCATAACCATTTAATTATGGATATAGTTTCCAAATTTTTTAATGATAAATTTTTTAACATTGGTTACTGTGATGTGCAGTGGAGCATAGTAGATTTCTTTTTCATTGATGCTGAAAATGAAATGTCTCCAAGTGGTAGAAGGGGATTTTGAAAGAAAACTATTGCCAGATGGGAAGGGGTGGTTCAGAAAACCTTGGGAAAGCACAAGCTATTTATATCAGATATGATCTTTATTTTCTGAAAAACTACTACTAATACCATGTATTTATTTATTTGTTTATAATTTTTAGTTGTAGATGGACATGATACCTTTATGTAATTTATTTATGTGGTGCTGAGGATCAAACCTAGTGCCCCACGCATGCATGGCAAGTGCTTTACCACTGAGCCACAACCCCAGCCCAACACCATGTATTTATAAATCACTTTATTGAACTTTTCTTTCTTCCAGTTAGCATATCTTTTCTATGTGTTGCTAGTCAATTTACAATAAATCAAATGTTTCATTGGTTTAATGGCTGATTTTATGAGTGTAAAAGCCAAGATTGTTCACTTATGTTATCAAAAGGTATAAGCAGAGTTGAAATTCCTTTTCAAATTTCTTTAGTGAGCTCATACATTCCATCTAGTTACTGCCATTAACATTTTGTTTGCATTCTTCTATTTTTTTCTCTTACTATTTATCATCTTGTTCTTTTAATACATTTCAAAGCACATTTCACATATCAATACATATTCCATTAAATACTACAGCATATATATTATTGCCTAGAATCTAATATTTATAGAGTTTTTCTTTTTAGGTAAAATTTATAGAAAATTAAATGCATAAATCATATATGTATGTTTGAAAAATATATATTCTGTGTAACCTAAATTTCTTTTAAGATACAGTATATTACCTTCACCCTGGTAATGTCTTGCCTCTTCATGGTGTTTCTATATCACCTCCTTCCCACTGTCCCTCAATCCAGTCTTCTGCTGTTCAAATTTTTTTTTTTTATCATGTAGTGCTTTGATCTTTGTGGAGTCACACAGTGAGTAATCTTTAATGCAAGTCCCCTCCCAGCATATTTGACATATATCTGTGATGTTGTGTGAATCACTAGTTCTTCCTTTTTATTACTATTATAAAAATCCCACATTTGGCTTATCCATTTTCTTCTTGATGGACTCTTGAGTTACTCCCAGATTTGAACAATTATGAGTAAAGCTGCTATGTGCATTCTCGTACAGTTTTTTTTTKTGTGTGTGTGTGTGTGTGTGTATAGGAGGGACATATGTTTTTATTTTTCTCAGGTAAATACCTAGGAATAGAATTGCTGGGTCTTAAGTTAGATGTATATTTGATTTTATAAGAAATTGTCAGATTATTTACCAAAGTGATTGTACCATTTTACACTTGAATTAATTATGTTAGAGCAACATTTGATGTTGACAGTCTTAATTCTATCCATTTTGATAGATGAATAATGATATCTCCTTGTGGTTTTGCTTGTATTTGCCTGATAACCAAAAAAGTCAGTTGCCAAGGAAGAAGGATTGGAGAGATGCTAGTCAAAGGATTCAACATTTTAGTTAGGAATAATAAAAAGAGATCTCTTGGGGCTGGGGTTGTGGCTCAGCAGTAGAGCGCTCACCTAGCACATGCGAGGTGCTGGGTTTAATCCTCAGCACCACATAAAAACAAATAAAATAAAGGTATTAAAAAAAAGAGATCTCTTATATAATATGGTGACTATAGTGCGTGACAACTTGAAAACTGCTAGTAGAGTTAAGTGCTCTGTGGTAGTTTTGTAATGTTATCAACTTGCCTATGCTGAATTACCTTTTCCAGAATTTCACATTCTTTTTTTGAAAAAAATATTTAGTTGTAGATAGATACAATAACTTTATTTTATTTGATTATTTATTTATTTCTTATGTGGTGCTGAGGAT